AATTTGAACAAACCAATTTTCAAAAGTTCAAATGCACGGGGAGTTTCCGGGAGGATGTTGATAGATGCATTTCAAGGAAAATATCAATAAAAATGATAATTGTAATGATGAAAACTATCATAATGATGATAATAATAATAATTACAGAACACGGCGAAAACCTCTGATTTTTAATCATAAACTTAATTGTAATAGGAATCAATGTTACTTACCACTGTTAGGTTTACACCTGCAAAAATGTAACAACAAAATAAATTGAGATAAGAAACCAGCTCAAATTTAAAAAGGATTTTACTTCACTTCTGTTTTTTTTGTAACAATCAGTTTCTTAGGATAATAATATTTTACGTCTGGCCATACTTCCTATAGTTTTTTCCACGTAACGACACTTTTTGGGATTAATTAGTAAGCACCATGGAAACATTGACAACGAAAATAGAAAACATTGACAATAGAAAACGAAAACTCAAACAAACATAACGACGAGAGCTTAATTTTTAAAATAGGTAATTTCATATTTTCCAACACCATCGTCCTTATCTCTGTGAAGCATGGGACCTACGATGATCAAGAATTAACCACAATGCCCGTCGGAAAACCCAATCGAAAGGTCTGCGGACGAATCCAGGTAGAGCTTTGAGTTCCTTAATTTTGGGGGCGGGAGGAAACTGGAGGGAGCAAAAACGTAGTTTCTCTCTCCACTCAAGAATAGAAGTGACCATGATGGCAAACCGTCAGGGTAAGCTAACTGACCTGTTGTTAAGGGAGGAAGGAATGGGTGGGAGAAAGGGTAACCTGTGCAACGGCCGAATACCCCGTGTACGAGGAGAACAGATCGAACAAATAGTGCTTCAGGTTAATCAATAGTTCTTACCAAAACTGAAATCAGCCAGGACAAACAAAACGAGGAACACGATGAGTTTTCCCATGATCAAGACGTTGAATTCACTCACAAGTCAAATCCTGAACGTCTCAAGAACTATGATGAAAACGTTTCAGGCTACAGCAGTATTTATATCATTTCTTGGATCATGATAAGCAGGGGTTGTTTTGGCTTTTGATTGATATCTTAATAATGCTCCAGGCCTGTTAGCATGTGATCTGAGCTTCACGGAATATCACTATTTGAGAAAAGTGAATCTATTTTATAATTTTTCGTTAAGACTATGTTTAGAAAAAGATGAACAATATCAGCATATTCAGACCAAGTTTTACTAAAAACTAAGGGAAGTCATATCCCCTTTGAGCAAATTTCTGATATCTAAGAATTGAGAAGACGCCATGCAGGCTGCAAATCTAAAGTGTTTTCACTGCAGGCTCTAAAACACGATACAACATAATTTTCTGGATAATCAAGGTAGTTTTTCACCCCCCACTGCAAGAGTGGTGTCACATTGCAGATCACGGAAAGGTTCCTAACCAAATTGGAGGGACGCCTTTCAAGCTGCCAGTCAAAATTTATTCGCAGCAAGGTCCAACTCCTGCATTTCCCTTATATAGATGGTGTATCATGTTTCACAGGTTGATATCACATTTTATCTCTCTCGCAAAAACTAGTGTCGAATCACGGATCACGAAACAAATAATCTCACGACAAGAACCAGGTAGCTTCGTTGTCAATTCATTTTTGTCAATAGACGATAGAGTTGTTCTCAAAAAATAAAATGTCATCATTTCATGAACATCATTGTTTACTTGAAAACCTGGTGAACTTCGTTTGCAAATTGATAAACAATAAATGGAAAAGTCTCAAAGTACAATCAGAGGAAACATAAGGAAAACAGAGAAAGATCAATGAAGAAAACTTATTTACCAGCTTCCTGTATATGTATCCATAAATCCTGACATTTTTAAGTAAAAAAATGAATAAAAAAACATTAGTAAATATCTCTACTGATGAAACAGAGCGTAACATGTAAACAAAAAGAATTTAGGACAATGTTGCATAATCTTTGATTTGACGAAAGTTTCACAATGAGTGTCGGGTGAAGTAAGTTAATCGTTACTTAGTGAAACGAGATGTGATATCCGTGGAACCATCAATGAATCGTGTTTTAGAGCTTGCTGTGAAATATCATGAACTTACAAACAAGATGGCGTCTCTCAATTGAGTCTTGCAGATTATGAATTGAAACTAACTTATGCTGGCCACCAAGGTTTTTGTAAAAAAAGATCCTGAACATGCTGATACAATAATATGAAAGGAGCGAGGTTAGAAAAAAAGGAATGTTCCGTGAGGTTTACATCAAGGATTAACATGCGTGGAACACTACCTCCCTGCATGAGAAGAGGCAGGAATACGGAATATAGTTATTTATGGTCGCTTTTGCAAGTTTATTTCCGCTCACTCTGAAAAAAATCCATGGTGTCTTTCCGAGTTTTGAATTCACACCTTTCATCATCTTTTGTGGAAATGTCAGGTTTTAATCTGCATTTCTTTTCCTCAATCTCAAAACCAAGCAACTTTCTGAGCTCGGAATTTGTGAGTACTTAATAATTTAATTTTTTAATTCTTTACTGAAATCAAAGAAGTCTTCAATGATTTGGCGCTTTTTTTACTCTCTTTGCTATGCAGGATGAATTCAATGAGATCATTTTTGGTTTTCACAACAATACCTATGACCTCTTATGCCTACTTTTGTTGCCACGTTTATCATTTCAAAGATTTTCATGCTTTCCCATCTGTTCTTCAGACATTTGGCATTTTTTTTTGTCTCCACCCTTTCACTTCCATGAGTGACCTAGACGCAATTTCTCCTTACAATATCAATACAATATTAACCAGATAAGTGATGAGAATAAAGAAAAATATCAATTTGGGGATAATAAATTGATCCAATACTAAAATTTAATTAACTAACATTATAAGAAATTGTATGGTTTGATCAAACCATACAATTTGATCAAATTTGATCTGGGAGTTAAAGAATTAAATATAAAAGAAAAAAATATTTGTTACTGAGGAAAGATGTCGCCATATTTCATAATAAAACCAAATTCATTTTCATCGGTGGAGAAACAGACAGGTGGTTTCTACACCTGTCTGTTGCATCAGACAAATTCTGGAACATTTGCATACAAGCTTTAGTTGTCGCGGACGTGGTAAAACATGAACAAGAAACGTTTAACAGAATTTTCGAATTATCTTGAGGTTTTTACGCAAAGGATTGTCATAAGATTCCCAAATGCCCAGGATTTTGTTGATAATGAAACGACGCAAATGGTGGAAAGATTTCCAGAACTTATTCCAACAGAAGTCTGTTGGTAATAGAGTCAACATCAGCTTCATTTGCTATTCTCCTAGGCTGATTTTTTTAACGAATAACATTGTTCGATCTCATGCAAATTCAAGTCGAATTCAACATCAGAGATTGATCCATCTTTCATTCCTTTTGAAAACAACCTGAAGACTGGAAGGTGCTTTGCCTTAGCATTTAAAATTGTTTCCTTGTGCTTCGTGATTTTCGAATTAAGCTTTTTGCTCTTGACAATAAGTGCTATTGATATGGAACTAAACCAAGCGGCGAGACCTGCTAAAGACGGTCCTGCAATTATCCCAATTCCACTCAGAGCAGCTGCCAGCACCGCTTGGTGACAAAACGGCAGCAATGACACCAGTTATTTCACCACTACTTTCCAATTTCGGACACTAGTGTCCAAAATCGGTCACTAGTCTAAAATCAGATACTAGTGTCTAAATCAACACCAGACAGAGAGAAAAAATAAATTTTACTCATAGATAAAGAGAGAAGATTCTAGTTTTAGCTAATACTCTTTATTGTCAATCAACTCAGCATTCCGTTCCATTCTTTTCTTTTTTCAGTTTTAATGACTGAATTTATTATTCATTAAAGTGAAATAAAAGTTTTGTGCGATAAACAAAGCCTCTGCATATATAATGAGGTTAATCTTCAGCTTGATTTTCTGATGGGCTTCATTACTTTGTTACTGCTGCAAGTGAAATTTCAGACTATCAGTCTATATCATTCTTCAAGATTGAAATGAAAATTCTCTTTGGGATGGAACATCGATCTTGCGCTGACTAAGTATTTAAATTTATTTGAGGCGGAGGGGTGGGGGGTGGGGGGTGGAAGCGGACGGCGTAAAGATTCTCTTTGTTTCGTTGCAGAAACTATCGTTAGTGCAACTTGAAATTGTTCTGGCAAATTTTTCCTTAAAATCTCTGCCGCTTAATATGTTTTCATGGATGAGAATTTACACCAAGTTTGAGCTTTACCCTGGATTCACCCTGACTTCCTTCCGAACACATTGTCCCTGGAGTCGGGGTTTTGCCTCCTTTTTTCACAACAGCATTTTTATTCCATGTTAACCACCATTGTAGTATATTACTTGATTCTAGCCACTGTTACAGTTTTTCTCAAACAGTTACTCAACTCGAGTTTGTTTCAAATTACTCAAATTAAGAGCAAGTGTCAGCATCTTAAACAAAAACAATTAGAACAAATAAACAAAGAGAGAAAAGACGGCGGCAACGACATGATCAAGAAAGTAAATATAGCACCTGAGGCACCTTTGATAGCAGGCATGATTCTTACGACCCTTCAACAGACCACTACTTTTTTTTTTTTAAAAAGATGTCTATCTATCTATATCTATATGATAAGCTGAATTAAACACGCATTTGATTGGCTGTTGCTTATGAGCTATTGGAAGACAGACGCAAGGATGACGTCACCGTTAACAAAATTTTCTTTTTTAATTATATAAAACAAATAGATTGCATGTTGCCGTGCGTCTGTACAGGAATAGATCACAGAAGCGTCTAGAACATCAATGAAACGCCCGGCTGCATCTCGTATGCTTCATTTTGGTTCTCACTACATTTTGATGTCATCTGTGATCCATCATAGAACAGACGCACAGCAAAAAGGTGTCTATTTCTTTAAAAGCAACAGCTCAAAATACTGTGACGTAGCTTGAAAATACTCACCTCAACCGCGCGCAGCGTTCACATGACTTAGGACAATAAATGTCCATAAAATCTGCATGTTCCCAACACATGTGCTCTGTTGCTTTCCTTTCACAAAAGCTTGTGTAGAGAGGATGGTCCACACATTCTGAAAATAACACATTGGAAAAAATAAACCGAACGAGTATATTTACAAATATACTGCGCAATCTTAAGGAGTAACGTGTAAGCGGGAATGTTATCAGAGAATCAGCTGATTGTTGTAGTACTCTACCGGCATTTTTTGGGATTAGAACCTAGCAAGTCCCAAAGACGCAATATGCCCGACATAGATGAAGTGCTGCATGACTAATTACGTAGACTGGTTGATGACGAAAGAGTGACTTGTACCTCTGGGTACAAGAGTGCTGCATTATTAATGGCGGAGAATAACAACAATGACGAAAGAGTGACTTGTATCTCTGGGTACAAGAGTGCTGCATGACTTATGGCAGAGAAATAACAACAACGACGAAAGAGTGACTTATACCCCAGATGTTTCCAGCTGCTATTGGAGCTAAAAGAAACAAAGACAGAAAAAAAAACAACAATTAAAAGTCAAACACGATATTATCGTTTTATGTGATGCTCTGAAAGAAAAATCAGTTTTGGTGAAGGATGATGAGATGAGGGAGAAGCTTCGAAAGAAGACCGGTATGGGGAATTAATTTTCAGACCTTATTCTCCTCCTTTGTAAAAACTTCACAAGTTGATACTTACGCACGCAAGGCTTTCGATAAATTTCGGTCATTATACCCTGCAGATATCCTTCAATATCTTTCACATCCACAACATCGTTATCACGTCCTGTCATTAGCCTCAATCTATTTTTCGCCATACCAGTTCCAATCCCCACCGCTAATACACGAACGTTCGCCTGTCGAAGGGGTCTGGAACTCTCCCTCAAGCTTTTAGCTCCTCTGGATTGTACGCCATCACTTAGAACGACGACAATCTTATATGCATAGGGTCTCGCAGAAGAGAACACCTCATCAACAGCCACATTTAGAGCCCTGTCGATTCGAGTTCTTCCATTTTTCTTTCGTAGTTTTTGTACAACTTCTATGTACTTTTCAGCGGTATCGTACTGTCCAAGTTGAGCTTTTACACTCGCTGATGAACCGAACAAAATCAGAGCTTCCCGGTTACCAGTTGCTGTCACCTGCTCCACCAGCTTCTTGACGAGGAGTCTTTCCTCGTAGAATTCCGCTCGCTTTATGCTTCCAGAAGAGTCCATGATAAACGCCACATCCATGGGGCATACTAGATTACCCAACAAAAAGATCAGTGTAAACTATCTTTTGTAAGTGCTTGGCTAACGCACCTTTCAACATAGCACCCAGGATAGATCTACCTTTTTCGTGCAATCATAAAAAGCCCTTTCAAGAGCTACGGAGCGGCGTAAAAATTTTGAGGCATTTAATCTTTGTGGATTTTCCAATAGACCTTTATCTGAAAAGGTAATTTCCTGAAGAAAAAAGAAATCTGCACGGCAATATACCGCAAATGCGAAACACCAAATGAAAAACTCTGCATGTATCACTTTTCGCTTCCATGAACCCTTCAACTCTTAATATCTTATTGTCAATTCTCTCTTCTAGCTGTTACAGATTTCCTTGTAAATTAGTTATGAGAATTTGGTGTTAGACGAGGATAACAAAAATCTATCTGATAAGTTTGGGTATTCTCATCACCTGTTTGCTGGACAATGTAGGAATAATATAGGGAGAAGTTTGGTGTTAATCTCTTCTGGGAAAAAAGAGTTCAACTAGCACTCTAACTGACATCGATATACGAATCATTAACCCGACCAGCTCTTCACTGATGAACTCGACAAGCCGGAAGAAAATTTTCTTTTCAGTGTTACACTGCTCGAAAAAAGACCCTCAAAATAAAGTCCTGGCTGAAATTTCATAAACTTTAAACCTCAAAAATTATTTGTGGCCAAAATAGAAAGGTAATCCGCAAAACATAATCCTCACAAGATTCCATGTTTCAGGGTAGGTCACTGACTGGGTACCGTTTAAATATAAAATGTCTAACTTTGAACTAAATTCAGTCATGCACATTTTTTTTGGTGATCTTATCCATCCATAGCCACTTGTCCGTTCGTTCGTTTCTTCTTTGATTAAATTGCTGAGTTTTCTATGTTACCGAACTGCAAGAAATCTCTCACCAGGTGGAAGTGGTTTTGTTCGTTACAAATACTGGCCAACTATATCTTGACATAAATTACAAGGAAAGTGAATGACTTACTGGAGCATGCATATTCATTGCAAGGAACATTCTTCGATGCAGGTCCCAGTCTGGTGCAGTCCCTCCCGCCATTAATTGGTGGGGGATTGGTACAGGTCCTCGTAAGAGTCTTTATTCCGCCTCCGCACGTCACACTGCACTCAGATTCTGACCAATCAGAGTAGCCCCCATCTTTTGGAACTTAATTTGAATAAAAACAAAAACAATAAAATCGCCTCCCTTCCACAGCCATGCATCTCATAAAATCTAATGATAAAAAAAACACTGGAGTTTTCAATATTTGTTTTGAGAGATTAGCCTCTCCGTGATGAGTTCGGCCAAGAAAGTTACTCGGAAAATGGTTGCAAGCCAGGCCTTTTTTATTTTTTGTCATGTCAAATAATCCTTTCCCTTCAAAGGCTGATTTCTCTACAATAAATGGCTTGCACTTCAACCTCTAACGAATGATCCTTCGTTAGAGAGGAGAGGTAATACCCATAACACCAAGAAGATGGCGGAGCTTACTTGAAGATGGCGATGAGCATGTGCTTTCCAGGTGTAAAAAAAAAAGATAGAATATAATCTGCCGCCTTAATCATAAGAAAGTCTAAAACGAAGTCAGTTCAGTGACCTCGAAATCTCATCCCTTCACAACTCATTTCCCAGGTTAGGGACTCGTTCGATTCTTACTTAAGCATGTAATATGCGCAATACAAAGCTGATGACCTTAACTTACTGCATATTTCATCGATCAACTCGTGAAGTTTCTCAATCAATTCCTGATAACTGTTGCGTATTATAACCTTTCCTTTGCTACCAGCCGCTTTTTTCATCTTCTCTTCTGACACATCTTGCCCAATTCCAACCACAATGATTCTCACACCTTTTTTCTTATCGAGAAAAAAAAATGAGGAAAGAGGAGAAACAACACAGCCTATTACGATTTATAAAAAGGCTGAAGCAACAAGAGCAAATTAAATTGAAATTTCTGCAAACAGAGTCAGGAATTTCAAGAATGACCAATTTGAAAATATGCCGGAACACAGAGCCACAAAAAAATTAAAACCACCCTGTAGTTTTTTTACTTTCTCTTTCGATGCAAAGTTAGTGTGTTCTGTGATCGAAACGTTGTTGAAGGAAACCCTTAAAATGATTATTACTACTATTTACGGAAATGCCAGATATATTGGAGAAATTTCTTGCATCGCAACAAGAAAGTTTTTCCGCATTTATACAAGTTGCCAGCTACGTTGCTCTAGCGACTCTAAAACTGATAAAAAAAATATCAATTCAAATTACCTCCAATTCTCTCGTGGTGTTTAATAGTGTAATATTAGGTCGTCTATCCCATGTTTTCTTGATGTAAAACTTTCCGTCGGTAAAGATTAACATCACATTTCTGACATCAAGTCTGTCTCCACCTTCAGTAGTAAAGAGCTTTGTCGCTGCCTGGCGTTGAGCCAAATCTGTACGAGTTCCCTCGCGTCTCGATTTACTACGCAGTGCCTCAGTCACACGTGTCTTCAAGTAGGTTGCGTTATAGTAAGTGCTGTTGGCAAAGTTGTTTACGACCCTAGTGTTCCCGCCAAACGTGACAACAGCGACGCGAGTTCCTCTTTCAGACACACCCGCTCTCTTCACTACGTCATGAATGGCATCTCGCAGTCGGTGCAGATCTTCTGTTCTTAGACTCTGTGATATATCAGCCAGAATGGCCAAATCCATAGGTATTACACACTCATCTAAAGAATCTAAAGAGAAAAACAACAGAACTCACTTGTTGTGAAAGGTTAGGGCGCCATAGCAGGATTTCCGCTTAGAGATAATATAAACACTACAAAAGTCAAAATGTACTTTGAACAATACATATATAAAAAAAAATGGTCAAAGGTCGGGAGAAAAGGTACAGAAACAGAACACTAAGTCCTTTCGCGGTTCAAACAAGTGAACAACAAGAACAAGTAACAAGTTTAATATGTTTCTTTTGGATATTCTTTTATTTTTACAGATTCCCGTCAGAAATCTTTCTCTTTGTAGAGACAAACTTAAAAAAGACGAGATGTTTAGAGACTGTTATTATGGAATCCGCTCGCGTTTTTCACTCAGAAAATATTGAGGAGATATGAAAAATAATAAGTCAATCCATGTGCTGTTTTAACTATGCATTTTAAAGAACAACAATAACGGAGCTTTTGATGTCTGTCTATCAACCGTTTGCGTTGAATCGTATGAAAATATTTTCGTTTGTTGTGAATAGGAGACATTTTCTTTATATTTCTTTGCATTTTGTTTAAAGAATCCACATGAGTTTTGCCTTTTTCGTCCTCCAAATCTGCCTATTTTCTGCCAGACTCTACTTTAGTTCTCGTTAACGACTAAAAACGTATGTGATCTGGAAATATCGAAGATGAAAATAGCAGTAGAAAAAGATACATCAAAATACACCCTTAACAGTGTAGTCGTTAAAGAGCACGGCTTAGAAATCTAAAATGATAAATCCTAGCTTTCATCACAAAAAAACTAGGATTCATATGTAAAACCCGCACAAGGTGTCTCTGTACCAACACAGAGCAGTGAAATTACACGCCTATTTTAATAAAGTTGACGGCTTGCATTTGTTCTTCTTCCCAACAGGTAAGTTAGTTGAGGAAGGAAACAAACGGAAAACATATCAGATATAAGCCTTACCACAATTTCCGATCTGTAAGATACCAAAAAAAAAGACCATGGAGTAAATGAAATTTGACATCGCGGAACTGAAGGTTTCTACACTCTCCTTGCAACTTGTCAGGAAATGGTCAACAATCTCACGACGGCTTTTTTTTATGCGTTAATTGACGTTAGAATCAAAAGCTTAGAAACTTATGCTCCGTGGCCTGGCCGGAAAGTTTCCTATCAACACCTTAACTGAATGAGGAACACTTCATCACGTATTTATACGGGGAAAATAAGTAATTGTTGTTTCTGTGCCAGTTCTCTCAGCATGATGCGTTTGCAGTCTAAATTACAGACGAAAATATTTCTTTTAATACAAAATATACCGCAAGTACCTCCACACCATAATTGCCAAATTCTTGGAGTCGAGACACTACGCGAATCTTGTCAAAAGTACTCAGAGCGCTGGAAAAAGTTTTAACTAATTATGATATCAATAGACTGCTAAGATGAGCATACGTTCATGAACCCTCTCTAAACATTTCTCGATTATTTCGCCATACATTCAACCCCCGTGCCCTGCTATCAGAGTCAACACCAAGTGAATCATACGACTGATTGACCTGTGATCTCTTTTGACGCATTCTGTTTCGGCATTTTTGCTGAAATCTAGTACCTTTAGACTACGAAGATCGAAAATTCAGATGCGTTTCATCGTTCCGGAATTAAGAAATATGATTTTCAGAAGTTTATCATTAGCATGAAATTTTAGTTATCTCTTTACATCTTAACATCGGTATGAATTTTTCAATAATGTTTCCTAAGTAATTCTCATGATGCTGACAAGGAGAATTTGTTTAACAATCAAAAGCTTCTTTGGTTGGTAATCATCTCCTTTTCCTCCCGACTTAAATGTGTGATTCGGAGGTGATATTTTAACGAGAAGTTAGATGTTAGTCACTATTACGGGTTAAACGGTTCGCTTGGGAACCTTTTGGTATGGATATCTCGAAGTAAACTTTCTGTGCTACACTGTGGTTTCAGTTACCTTTGGAGACTAAGAAAGTGAAGTTTTGGAAATGTTAAGTAAATTTACTTTCTTGTATCCTGTTCCGATTATTATTTCCATCTGCCTTCAGCCTTGGCAAATGATTCATCTGTTTGCCATTGACAAATCCGATATCTCGTCGACCTCGTCCAAGAACTGTTAATAATTTCCTTTCACGTTGCGAGTTACATGAACTGACCGAGAAGCAACTGTATCAAAGCTTCCAGAGTCGTAATTTCAGGAGTACCGTTAACCACCCCTATGCGGAAAAACAAGGACGAAAACAGAGGTCTCTCACCAGGTGGAAGTGGTTTTGTTCGTTACAAATACTGGCCAACTATATCTTGACATAAATTACAAGGAAAGTGAATGACTTACTGGAGCATGCATATTCATTGCAAGGAACATTCTTCGATGCAGGTCCCAGTCTGGTGCAGTCCCTCCCGCCATTGATTGGTGGGGGATTGGTACAGGTCCTCGTAAGAGTCTTTATTCCGCCTCCGCACGTCACACTGCACTCAGATTCTGACCAATTAGAGTAGCCCCCATCTTTTGGAACTTAATTTGAATAAAAACAAAAACAATAAAATCGCCTCCCTTCCACAGCCATGCATCTCATAAAGTCTACTGATAAAAAAAACACTGGAGTTTTCAATATTTGTTTTGAGCGATTAGCCTCTCCGTGATGAGTTCGGCCAAGAAAGTTACTCGGAAAATCGGTTGCAAGCCAGGCATTTTTTATTTTTTGTCATGTCAAATAATCCTTTCCCTTCAAAGGCTGATTTCTCTACAATAAATGGTTTGCACTTCAACCTCTAAGGACTGATCCTACGTTAGAGAGGAGAGGTAATACCCATAACACCAAAAAGATGGCGGAGCTTTCTTGAAGATGGCGATGAGCATGTGCTTTCCAGGTGTAAAAAAAAAAAAGATAGAATATAATCTGCCGCCTTAATCATAAGACAGTCTAAAACGAAGTCAGTTCAGTGGCCTCGAAATCTCATCCCTTCACAACTCATTTCCCAGGTTAGGGACTCGTTCGATTCTTACTTAAGCATGTAATATGCGCAATACAAAGCTGATGACCTTAACTTACTGCATATTCCATCGATCAACGTGTGAAGTCCCTCAATCAATTTCTGATAACTATCGTGTAGTATAATCTCTTCTTTGCTACCAGCCGCTTCCTTCATCTTCTCTTTTGACATACCTTGCCCAATTCCAACCACAATGATTCTCACACCTTTTTTCTTATCGAGAAAAAAAATGAGGAAAGAGGAGAAACAACACAGCCTATTACGATTTATAAAAAGGCTGAAGCAACAAGAGCAAATTAAATTGAAATTTCTGCAAACAGACTATATTTTGGAGCGCTGCTAGAGTCAGGAATTTCAAGAATGACCAATTTGAAAATATGCCGGAACACAGAGCCACAAAAAAATTAAAACCACCCTGTAGTTTTTTTACTTTCTCTTTCGATGCAAAGTTAGTGTGTTCTGTGATCGAAGGGTTGTTGAAGGAAATCTTTAAAATGATTATTACAGATATATTGGAGAAATTTCTTGCATCGCAACAAGAAAGTTTTTCCGCATTTATACAAGTTGCCAGCTACGTTGCTCTAGCGACTCTAAAACTGATAAAACAATATCAATTCAAATTACCTCCAATTCTCTCGTGGTGTTTAATAGTGTAATATTAGGTCGTCTATCCCATGTTTTCTTGATGTAAAACTTTCCGTCGGTAAAGATTAACATCACATTTCTGACATCGGGTCTGTCTCCACCTTCAGTAGTAAAGAGCTTTGTCGCTGCCTGGCGTTGAGCCAAATCTGTACGAGTTCCCTCGCGTCTCGATTTACTACGCAGTGCCTCAGTCACACGTGTCTTCAAGTAGGTTGCGTTATAGTAAGTGCTGTTGGCAAAGTTGTTTACGACCCTGGTGTTCCCGCCAAACGTGACAACAGCGACGCGAGTTCTTCTTTCAGACACACCCACTCTCTCCACTATGTCATGAATGGCATCTCGCAGTCGGTGCAGATCTTCTGTTCTTAGACTCTGTGATATATCAGCCAGAATGGCCAAATCCATAGGTATTTCACACTCTAAAGAGAAAAACAACTGAACTCACTTGTTGTGAAAGGTTAGGGCGCCATAGCAGGATTTCCGCTTAGAGATAATATAAACACTACAAAAGTCAAAATGTACTTTGAACAATACATATATAAAAAAAAATGGTCAAAGGTCGGGAGAAAAGGTACAGAAACAGAACACTAAGTTTTCTTTCGCGGTTCAAACAAGTAAACAACAAGAACAAGTAACAAGTTTAATATGTTTCTTTTGGATATTCTTTTATTTTTACAGATTCCCGTCAGAAATCTTTCTCTTTGTAGAGACAAACTGAAAAAAGACGAGATGTTTAGATACTGTTATTATGGAATCCGCTCGCATTTTTCACTCAGAAAATATTGAGTAGATATGAAAAATAATACGTCAATCCATGTGCTGTTTTAACCATGCATTTTAAAGAACAACAATAACGGAGCTTTTGATGTCTGTCTACCAACCGTTTGCGTTGAATCGTATGAAAATATTTTCGTTTGTTGTGAATAGGAGACATTTTCTTTATTTTTCTTTGCATTTTGTTTAAAGAATCCACATGAGTTTTGCCTTTTTCGTCCTCCAAATCTGCCTATTTTCTGCTAGACTTTACTTTAGTTCTCGTTAACGACTAAAAACGTATGTGATCTGGAAATATCGAAGATGAAAATAGCAGTAGAAAAAGATACATCAAAATACACCCTTAACAGTGTAGTCGTTAAAGAGCACGGCTCAGAAATCTAAAATGATAAATCCTAGCTGTCATCACAAAGAAACTAGGATTCATATGTAAAACTCGCACAAGGTGCCTCTGTACCAACACAGAGCAGTAAAATTACACGCTTATTTTATAAAGTTGACGGCTTGCATTTGTTCTTCTTCCCAACAGGTAAGTCAGTTGAGGGAGGAAAAAAACGGAAAACATATCAGATATAAGCCTTACCACAATTTCCGATCTGTAAGATACCAAAAAAAAAGACCATGGAGTAAATGAAATTTGACATCGCGGAACTGAAGGTTTCTACACTCTCCTTGCAACTTGTCATGAAATGGTCAACAATCTCACGAAGGCTATTTTTTATGCGTTAATTGACGTTAGAATCAAAAGCTTAGAAACTTATGCTCCTTGGCCGCAAAGTTTCCCATCAACACCTTAACTGAATGAGGAACACTTCATCACGTACTTATATGGAATAATAAGTAATTGTTGTTTCTGTGCCAGTTCTCTCAACATTATGCGTTTGAAGTCTAAATTACAGACGAAAATATTTCTATTAATTCAAAAATATACCGCAAGTACCTCCACACCATAATTGCCAAATTCTTGGAGTCGAGACACTACGCGAATCTTGTCAAAAGTACTCAGAGCGCTGGAAAAAGTTTTAACTTATTATGATATCAATAGACTGCTTAGATGAGCATACGACCAATACTAGTTCATGAACCCTCTCTAAACATTTCTCGATTATTTCGCCATACATTCAACCCCCGTGCCCAGCTATCAGAGTCAACACCAAGTGAATCATATGACTGATTGACCTGTGATCTCTTTTGACGCATTCTGTTTCGGCATTTTTGCTGAAATCTAGTACCTTTAGACTACGAAGATCGAAAATTCAGATGCGTTTCATCGTTCCGGAAATAAGAAATATGATTTTCAGAAGTTTATCATTAGCATGGAATTTTAGTTATCTCTTTACATCTTAACATCGGTATGAATTTTTCAATAATGTTCCCTAAGTAATTCTCATGATGCTGACAAGGAGAATTTGTTTAACAATCAAAAGCTTCTTTGGTTGGTAATCATCTCCTTTTCCTCCCGACTTAAATGTGTGATTCGGAGGTGATATTTTAACGAGAAGTTAGATGTTAGTCACTATTACGGGTTAAACGGTTCGCTTGGGAACCTTTTGGTATGGATATCTCGAAGTAAACTTTCAGTGCTACACTGTGGTTTCAGTTACCTTTGGAGACTAAGAAAGTGAAGTTTTGGAAATGTTAAGTAAATTTACTTTCTTGTATCCTGTTCCGATTATTATTTCCATCTGCCTTCAGCCTTGGCAAATAATTCATCCGTTTGCCATTGACAAATCCGATATCTCATCGACCTCGTCCAAGAACTGTAAATAATTTCCTTTCACGTTGCGAGTTACATGAACTGACCGAGAAGCAACTGTATCAAAGCTTCCAGAGTCGTAATTTCAGGAGTACCGTTAACCACCCCTATGCGGAAAAACAAGGACGAAAACAGAAAAAAAAAAAAAAACCAAAGACACAGCCTTACAGAAAAGAGAGGCATTTATTGTATTTTTGTCAAATTTAACAATGCAATTGAAACCACGAGAAGACTGCATCCCCGTTTCTGCGACAAAATGTCCGTCAGTGAGCGGTTGATGTGCAAGACACCCACATGGTCAAAAAACAGTTTAAAAGCAGGTCACACAACAAGCTTAGTCGGTGAAACGTGGCTGTTGCCTTGTTTGGTGCCGCTCCTGCAAAGCACGTTGAAAGATTCTCTTTAAGTGTGCGTACTTTGAAACTAAACAACAAGACATCAATAGACGCAAAATGAAACACAATAACTTAAGTAACTTAAGTTCATTTGTGGCTTTGTTGATTTGTGCCCATACAAGCATGTGCTAGTTTGGCAAAAGCTCAATTGCCAATTGCTATATTTACGTCGCAGTAAAACATGACTACACTAATTTCCCTTCTACAGATTTATGGAGCCTTGCTTTGCGTGTCGGTTAAGTGGATGTAAGGTCAAATCAAAGTCCTGTCACGCCCACGGATGAATTCGTCAAATGATGTTTTCCATACAAGCATGTGCTAGTTTGGCAAAAGCTCAATTGCTCTATTTACGTTGCGGTAAGACTACACCAACTTCCCTTCTTAGATCTATGGAGCCCGGCTTTCCTTGCGTGTCAGTTAAGTGGATGTTAGGTCAAATCAAAGTCCTGTCACGTCCACTGATGAATTCGTCAAATGATGTTTTCCATACAAGCATGTGCTAGTTTGGCAAAAGCTCAATTCCTATATTTACGTCGCAGTAAAACATGGCTACACTAACTTCCCTTCTATAGATCCTTGGAGCCTTTCCTTGCGTGTCGGTTAAGGGAATGAAAATTCAAATTAAAGTCCTGTCACGTCCACGGATGAATTCGTCAAGTGATGTTGTTTAATTTACATTAAGCATTATCATATATAAATCACAATGCAATGCATTAAAACAGGTATATTCCAAATATACATACCAGTTATATTGAGAGAATAATCCAGCTTTAATTCCTAATTGAGTAGAAAGGATAATATAAATGATCAATAATGCATATTTATATATTCATTCAAAGTAAGCGTCTCTTCGGATTAGTTTGTAAGCTTTGTTTTCATAATCATTTTAATTAATAGAGAAATAATAAATAGGTTTAAGTCGAAGAAAAAGTGTGTGTCATTCGTAAATACCGCTGGATTTTGTGTCAATTATGCAGGCTCAGCTTATATGTCAGTTTAGACATTCACTTTAGGAGCAATCAAAATGTTTCGTTTTGCAGAGGGCGAAATATCTTGGACAAGGTCACTAGGGCGCCCTCAAAGAGATAGAATAGCAGCCGAAAGTAAGAGGTCCAGAGCGGTGGAGTTGTCCGAACGTAACCTTTTCTGCTCAAGTGTAGGTGAACCCTCAAAAGATAGTTTTACCTTTTTGGCAGAATAACAGTTAGAGACTGCTAGATACCAACACTTCCGCGTTGAGGGTTCTTCAGTGCTTACTTCATACATCAGATAACCTAGTGTCAAAAACATCAGAATTAGTATAACAGTCAAACTAGATTTTCCGGACCTCGATTATCCGGATTTTTTCATTATCTAGACTTTCTTCCTGGTCCCATTATCTACGAACATTTATGTTCATATTTTCGATTATATGTACGCTCGATTATCCGTACTATTAAGCCCATTCCCCACGAGTCCGAATGATCAAGGCCCGACCGTATCAAAATCAGGCTTATTTCGGGTGCTGAATTTGAGCAAGGAAAGACGTAATCAACATGAGAGTAGGGGTTACTTACAGTGAACCCGAATCAGTGAACAGAATTAGTCTGTTTCAGGCTCACAGTCGGCAGAGGCAAGCGACAAGGCAAACGCACAAGATGGCAAGTAGACAGACCCAAAAGGAAAGTGAAAACTCTCTGACAGCCTTTTTCCTGAATGTGACTTCAGTCGCCGTGCAGCTACTTACTTGCCAATTTTTCGCATGCCCTCTTTTTCGTCTCTAGAAGCCTAAAGTACGTAGTTCAAATTAAGTTAAGCAACAAAATTCTTGCGCTACCTCTACAAGACATAACCAGGGAATTAGTTTCAGACGGGACAAGATGACAACCTGCGCGAGAGTTGTTTGTGGTCAGATTAACAACCTGACTTCCATTCGGGTCCAAACTGTTTACTTTCTCGTTGCAATCCTGCGACACAATGGACAGTTTTAGAACTAGATAAAACAATTGCTTTATGTGAATCATGTACAGTCTTTACTCAGAATTTGTAAGGTAAAATCAAGCCGACCCGCGCAAAGAGTGTCTGAGAAGTCGTACCTATTCCTCCTATGACAGCTAAACGTTTTGGACTGAAAATCTCAACCGGCTGAAGAAAAGAGCTCTAGAAAGCGATATAATTGGATTCTGGTCGAATGAACATTAATGAAGCCGGGGCGAAATAATAGTATCCACAAGGAAATGTAGTTAGGTTTCGTTGCCGCAACTGGAACGTGTAAACTCAAAATCAGAGGCCAATGCGATTTAGTTGAATTCCTTATAATATTTTGTAATGAATACCTCTTTATTTCGGTGTAACCTAAACAGAGAAATTGTTAATCTTTCCTTCGTGCCGTTTAGGTGCTCAAAGATCTTAGAACATCAAGCCTGATACAGGTCTAAATGGTTGAGGCGCAACTGTTATTAGATACGTTAGAAAATTGTTTACCGCTAATTCGAGTAGCAAAATTGATCTCTAGTTTCGTTTAATCTACTTTTCTGTTAATCCACGTATCCAACAGGCACCTCTCCTATTCATAATAGATTCAAAAGCATCACGTAGAGCTTACGAACGCATAGGCTTCAAATTTCCGGCTTTTTGTCTCCCACGCTGAGAGTGAAGACAAAGGCCGAAAATTGTGATTGTGTTCACAGGCCATATTTAGTTCAAGAAAACCGTCTATAGCAGAGGATAACAACATAGGGTACTTTTTTTATGACTTTTAAACTTAGTTCAATCCCGTTAGAAACTTGCGGAAAAGCAGTTACAACATTTTTTTACGACATTTGAACTTAAGTTTAATAACGGCTGAAAGACAGACAGCAAAACTTATAGGCTCTTGTTATTTACTAAATACATAAACATGACTCCTTATCTCTCTGATACTCAAACAATATACAAGTTACCCAAAAAGAACCGCTGGTGATCATAGTGGTGTGCGTTTTCCTTCTGGAAACTCAGAGGTGAACATCTGAAAAGCAGCTAACTAGTGCTAAAATCTTCTAACGAAATTTGCTTTCCGTGTGAACGTGTCTATAAATCTCTGTAATTTAGTGTTGACAACTGGGTTGAAAACGTAAATTAGCCACCGTAAAGGGCAAAAAAGCTGACGTTTCGAGCGTTAGCCCTTCGTCAATCGCTCTGACGAAGGGCTAACGCTCGAAACGTCAGCTTTTTTACCCTTTACGGTGGCTAATTTACGTTTTCAACCCAGTTGTCAACACTAAATTACCTGCTATACTCTCCCACCGACGCAGCACCACAGTTTCTTTAGAAACTTACCCCTATAAATCTCTGTAATGAGATTCGAAAAATGTACGATTTACTCAAATTAATCAAGCTGAAAGAACTACTCCCGATGAACTAATTGTTCGCTTCAGATCCAGTCATATTAGATGCGGATAATTATCCAGTGTTTATCCATTTATCTTAAAGGTTTTTAATATTTTAGTGAGAAACAAACCAGTTCAGGTCGTGGCCATATTTTCCACCATTGGTCCTCAAAGTAACTCAAAAAGCTGATACAACAATTTATCTGAAAAATAAAAGAATGGAACTGGCTACGAAGCTAAACAACACCAGGCCTAAGTTTGAGTCGTCTAAATCCGCGAATTAAATAAATAGTAACTCGTGCGTTTCTACTGAACAGGCACGAATTTGAAGGTCGATGTTTTTAAGAGGGTTTATCTTGCCGAAGATAGCACGAAACTCCCAAAACGTAAAATTTTGTGTGACCTTATCTTCAGAATAATCTCAAAGTAGGTTTTACCCAAATAAAAAAAATATATTTGTTGAGTTTTGCACGCAAATTTACATTTTCATGCCTATGAAACAGTCGCGAAACCGTAGTTGGTCATATTTCCGGACTCACGAACTAATAAGGTATTTATTTGCGTTTTGTTTGTTATTTCCACAGATGAAGCGGTTGATATAACCCTGTGGCCCTTCCTCTTTGAGTAAAAATATTATTAAAATTAAGAATTTGCTGATGTAAAAGTAGTAAGGGTGACATAAATCAAATGATCAGAGAAAACACAGTTGTCAATGAACTCGATATCGTTCACTGAAGACACTTTCGCCGCACTTCAATGTTTTTAAGAGTCAAGTGAATGTTTAATTAATGGTTGGCTTAATTTGTTTACCTTGGGATATGAAAAATTATACTGAACAGCTGGTCCGGTGTAGTTGCCACAGAAGCTTGCAAGGAAAGCAAAATTCTGCAAAAAGGAATCTATTACGATGAAAGAACTGCATGTGCAGTCGAATCATTTCAGAAAAGTTGATGAAAGGAAATCATACAGAAGAACATAGAATTCTATTACTAAAGAAGTTTTTCACGTAAAGAACAAGAATTACTTACGTAACCGTCCAGATCAAGATGTCCTTCTCGCACAAAAGACGAAACACATGATATCTGTGCAAATGCGATCAAGAAAGCAGCAAACTTAAAGGAGTAAATCATTGCTTTTATACGCTCAAGACACGCCAAGAGCAAACATACTCCGATCGTTATTTCACATTACACACTTCAGTAAAGCCTCAAAATTTAATTATTCATGGCTGCTTAATAAGTCACAAATATGCAAATTTACAACACAATACACTAGCATACTCTTGATTACAGCTATAGTTTCGTAAATTTGTAAGCAACTAAAATCTGCGCAAAGATTTTAAGGATGTTGATGAAGGGATGGAAAACCTTTAAGTAGATGGAACCGACTCTCACAGAAAATAACACATTCCAGAACTTTGATTCCTTTTACTTTCAAATGCAAATGTTACTTATCCGTAACCTGAACAAAATAAACTAAGAAACTATATCTCTCCCCAGAAAAAACATAAATCTTAGATGAGGTCTTCTGTCAAGTAACAGATCAAAGATGACGTCAAAATGTTGCTAATGATGACGTCACCTATGCGTGTGTCCTCCAATACTGATCATTTGTAAAAACAATTAAAACGCGTGTATAATCGTGGATAGACACAATTTTTATTGCACCTTTTTCTTAAAAACTATAGTACAACATATCATTTATAACATAGAATTAAAACATCAAATAGCGCGAGTTCGATTTGAAATCACATGTACAATTTTATACCAAACTTGCACAACACTAAGTTCAATCGCCACTAGCTTTAATACGACCATGTTAAAGTCCTGGTGTTAATTTCCCTACAATTTTAATGTTTAACTTTGAAAAACCTACAAATCTGATTTTTTTAACTTTCTAGTTTTCCAATCTAATTCACAACGAAAAAAAGAAAAAAAAGCTGGTGTGATTCCTGAGTGAATCACACGGCTGAAAGCTAATCATATTGCCCACGAAGGAGTATGTTACAATGCTCAAGTTCAAGAACTAAAAAGTCGTCTAATTTTGCAGTTTCACAGCTATTTACCACTAATTTGTTTTCTTTACGTCAAAAAACAACCAATAAATTTCCTCATTATGTTTAGTAAATTGTACTAAATTGTAATTAATGTTGATTATAAAAAGATTGGTGCTGACTTGAAGTAAAATGTACTGTTTAAGAAAAGTCGACAAGGAATACTGGAATTTCATCCAGAGCACGTTCCATTGCTGCATCAGATCATCATCCGAAGAGCCTGGATTGGCCTTTGTCTTCATTTAAGCGCCATTTGGAAGTTCTCAAAGGGTTTTGCATCATCTTTCGTCAGATCGATGGAGTCCTGGAAAATAAAAAGAAAAGAAACTCTTCGCTCAAGAGGGCGCTGATTCATCTTTACTCTCAGCTTAATGTGACGTGTTGGTGAGATTGGTGGGCCTAATGATTTTTCTTCAAGTCCAGGATCCCTTGAGAAGCGAAGTCTGAGTTTTGTTCGGTTAAAAATTAAAATATATATATACATATATACATACACGCATACATGCACCCATACACGCATACATACATACATACATACATATATATATGAAAAGTTCTGTCTGACGAGCGCTTAGGCGCGAAACTCTGAGTCACATAGAATCGATGCGTCCTCTTTGATTCTTTAACTTACGTATACTTAGCTCTGCTACCGCAGCATTGAGCACTTTATGCCAAGGTAGACTCTAACCCCACATTCATTTATATATATATAATTGAAGCTCAATAAGTCGCGCAGTTTAAGTGATAGTCTTTTTTTTCCGGTGATTGATTTTTTAGTCGATATAACTTGATTCTATGCTGCATCTAACCTGTTTTGAACCAGGACTGTCTGGTTTCTCGTAAGTCTGATCACACGTCCCAATGCTTCCTGGGATCTGTTGGTGATCTGTCACAGGGTTCCCATTGTCTATGACACTTTCGTCCTCCATGCAGTGACCATGATTACGATGCCCTTCTAAATCTTCTATTAAAGTCTCGTAGTGTTTGGAAATCTGGAATGGAATTAGGTAATTAATACCGTTTACCTTCAATTCAGCCTTTAAAAAAAATGGCTTTGAAATACTTCACAAGATCGCATTAACTTTCATCAACGGAGTCATATAAACGCCACAGTATGGCGCGGCTAAATTTTTGGTCCATAACACAGGGGTGTAGCCAGGATTTTTCAGAAGGAGGGGGGGGAGGCATACTTTGTCACACAGAGGGTACTCCACTACTCTGTTTTACTTAATGTGACAAAGAAAGGCTAACAAAGGGGAAGGTGGGGCACGGGCACCCCAGGACCCCCCTTGCTACGCCCTTGTAACATCGCTGATTAAGACACGTGTTTTGCGAGTTGGAGACTAACTCCACTTCATTCGAGACAATTATTAAGCCATAGCAAACTATTCGTAGGGTGAAAGACCTATAAGAATACTAGAAATATTTACCCTTCTTTCCTTCAGTTTTTCCATTTTACTCAGCGAGAATGCATTGCCTTGCTCACAATCTCTATAGAAATAAACAGAGAGAGAAAGAGGTAAACGGTCGATCGTGATGATTTGAAGACGAAGAACGGGGTGAGAACGTGGAAGATGAAAAAAAAACCCGAAAAGGCGATGCTCTTACTCAGTGAATGCATGGCGTGTGCAAAGCTCTGGAAAAAGAACAACGCAGCAAAGCGACGCAGATTAAGCACAAGAAAAAATTGTATACTTACATCTTAAAATCTGTCAAGTAATTCGAGGGGAAAACATACCATTGCTTTGATTATGTTTCATGTAAGAAAGCCTCGGTAATATTGGCTGAAGTGAACCCGTTAATGAAACGCAGTTTGTGCCTCGGTCAAGCGAGTGTATTATTTATTGGAAGGAGGACAAAATGTTTTCGAGAATACTATCGAGTAAAACGGTCTATTTCAGACCAATGGAGATCTGGTTGTCATGGTTGGCATACTTACCCGTCAAAATCTGTCACTTTCAGACCGCGGCAGCGAGTGACTGAAAAGCAATTGATTATTCAAGCTGTTATTTACTAATATTTAGCTGTTCATAACTAGTGATGTCATTGGAGAACATACATACTTCTTTTTTGATATGAGACACAACAGCAAAGCCTCAGAATTTAATTATTCGTCACAACAAAATACACTGACATAGATAATTTTAATACTCGTGATTACGGCCAGAGTTTCAAAAATTTGTAAGCAACTGAAATGTACGCAAATATTTCGATGTTGGTTTTCACTACTGTTTAATAGATGGAAACAAACCTTCGCGCTGTATGATTACTTTGGTTTCAGTCTCACGATAACTTTTCGAAATGTACTATCTAACAATTAATAACCGAATTGGAAGTAAATATCTACTGTTTTCACCGACATCGTAGCAAATAATGGTTTTAGTATATGCCGCATAGAAACCAAAAAAATTTGTTTGTCTATGTCAATATACCAAAAATGGTCGGAAATTAAATTGTTGGCAGGCGATTTTGTCCCTTCGGCTGCTCGGAATAGAATAGTACTTACTGCTCCCATCCGAACCAGCCAATCACTGCCCGCGAAAGAACACTATTCACCCTGTCATGTGGTATATACTAAAATCGACACCAAAAAGATCCACTTACTCTTTTTAGATGCTTTCCAGGACAGGAAAAAAATTATAGGCACTGCGAATGCCAGTAAGATAATCCACAGTGGAAGAAGGTAAGCAAACGTATCCTTTTCGCTTTTTCTCTCGGCGCTAGATCCTTTTAATTCTTAATGAGAAAGGTAGAAAAAATGCGTTAGTAGACAGTAATTAAAGAAAAAACGAATCTTCATTAAAACATCTCAAATTCATTTCAAACAGAGATAAACACTAGATAATAATTAGAGCAACTGTCGTCATCTGTAAGGGAAATAGTCTGAGGAAAAGAAGTGATCCAAGTCGGAATTATAATGTAAGATTCGTCTAAAAAGAAAGCGATAGATGTTCAAATCGCTTGATAGGAACAGAGAACGTGCACTCAATTGACCTCTCTGTGCACCGTTACGAAAACTGATAACACACTTATAGACATAAATCTATTTCATTTTTTTTTTAATTTCTGTATCATGATAAACAACAGTTCTCGAAAAATTTCTAGACCTTATGGACATTAAAAGGGTGAAATATATACCTTGTGTTATTACAGGTAACTCCGTCAGAGATACTACGGTGCTGCTTGATAATCCTATAAGAAAGTCACAGATGATTGTGTCTTAGAACGGGTATGGATAGCTCGGATTACTGAATGTTATTTTTCCTTATACTCATCACTTATCTGGTTGATATCGTATTGATATTGTAAGAAGAAATTGTGTCTTGGTCATTCATGGGAGTTAAAGGGTTTACTCAACATTTTTATTGGGGACTGGGATGGGAATGGTGGCTGGTTCGCGGAAATATGATTATCGTTTCATCAACTGTCACTAAAAGAAAATTTTCTATCAGTTAACGAGGTCTGCACTCGACTAATTGGACCGTAGTACATGAACTTAATCTACAGTTTTCTACATCAATAGGCGACGAGAAATATTGGCTCTCCATGTGGAGATCCCCCCCCCCCATTCACTCTAGCAATTCTTCAGGTTTCCAGCCGGGTGGCCATTTTTCTCTTGAGTTAAGAAAGTGACTTGGTGCTCTGTCTTCTTTGCCACGTTTTTGTTTCACTCGGCTTAGAAGGCTTCATGACTTAAGTCCCTACCTTCTGATTGGAAGTACGTAGTGTGTCGTAAAGTGACTGCAGTACTGGACTCTGCCGTCGTACTTTCTTCTGGAAAAGTGAGATTTGATTTAAGAAAAGATTAAGATTTGATTTTAAAAAATTTTTCTATCAGTTAACGAGGTCTGCACTCGACTTGTTAGACCATAGTACATGAGCTTGTTAATCTACAGTTTTCTACATCAATAAGCGATGAGAAATGTTGCCTCTCCATGTGGATGAAAAAGCAAGGGCATCAGGCATCAAAAGGCCCCCCTTCACTCAAGCAATTCTTCAGGTTTTCGGACGGGTGGACATTTTTCTTTTAAGTTAAGAAAGTGACTTGGTGCTCTGTATTCTTTGCCACGTTTTTATTTCACACGGCTTCATGACTTAAAAGGCAAGATTGGCAGTATTCGAGTCCTACCTTCTGAAGGGGAATACGTAGTGTGCGGTAAAGTGACGGTAGTGCTGGACTCTGTTGTCGTGCTTTCTTCTGAAAAAGTAAGATTTGATCTACGTGAGCACAATTTTTGAGCTTTAGATGGTTTCTTGACTAGCGCAGCTCTCTGAGGTTGAAGACATCACGTAGGTCTTTACTATGCGGCATTAACTTAAGCCACCTTACTTGATAATAAATTAATCAATAAGGTTATACATGCCTTTATCAACACGTATCAGTTACCTTCAGGTTCTTTCGCAGTGCTAAATTGTCTCTCCATCAAAGACAACCCTAAACTCTCGCCATACTTGTTCCAAGCTGATATGGCCGCCGAGTAGTTTCGGTCCCAATCTAGATCCAAAGCGTAACTCATTTCTGTAGTATTCCAGGAACTCAAATGTTCCTTGTGCGATGAGCCATTTGCCGCGGTTATTAGTACCCAGAGATGCACGATATAAATCTTTATCTGGCTTTCACCATTGTATGGTGTCCTCCAATGCAGTGAACAGCGTTTTCCAACAACACTGATGTTTGATATAAAAGGTGTGTCTGGTGGCCCTGGCATATCGAGGACAAAAAGAGAGAAAACCAATCTTAACGAAGGAACTCGACCTATGAAGTATTATGATAAAAAGGTATATAACATAGCTTGCGTTTTCTAAGTCGGATGATTAGAGGATCGTCAAATGCTAAGCACTCTGGATGAAAATTAGACTCGTGATCTTCTGGGATCCTTCATTTAAGGTCTAACTTTCTGGGCCGTTTTTGGTTGATTTACTCAAATGGAAACAAACTTGGCTCCACATAATTATCAACATGTAGAATGCAGCTGCTCTAGGACGGTAACAACCCATTTTGTTTTCTTTCCCAAATTGCTATGACTATTCTAAGAGTCAGTGTATTTCAGGCAAAAACGGATGAATAAAGCAACTGATCCAGTTAAACACGATTTACGGGGCTGTTATTGATTTTTATCGTTTATTGGCTTTGTCGACGAGCCACTCCCGCCGATTTTTTTTACCAAAAATATAATTTTTTATCCGTTACTTTTGTATGACAATTTATTGCACCTGGTAGAAGAGTTGTTGCGCTGGTGTTTGCAAACTGTCCGTAGCCAGCTTCGTTTCTTGCCTGGATGAATACAATGTACGTCTTGTTTCTTCTTAAGTTTTCAATAAGTAGTGATGTATTTCTTATTCCGGTATATTCATTTTCTTGTCTGTGTGTGATACTATCTATAACCTTTATTCTGTAATCCAGTATTTCAATTTTGCTGTCCTCAATTGATGAGTGCCAAGTTATGTTTAACGCAAGAACTTTGGATATCGCTTTTATATCGGGTGGGTTTGGTGGGTCTGCAAAAGAAATATCGGTTTGTTATCAGCAGTTGAGATAGGTGTTAAGGTTGTTCAACAAGCTCAGTGATCGATCCAACACTACTGACTTGTTCAATTGACTTTCCAGTTGAATGCGACACAGCTGGAACCGAGCAGACTCTTCTAACTGCCTGGATGTTTATACTGTATGCTCTGGAAACAGATTATCTCATCGGCTGACCGACCGATCGAATGGCAGACTCAGTAGTCGACCGAGCGATCGTTTGCCATGACCGACTGAGCGATAGTTTAACCGACTGGATAGCTGAATAACGGAATAACTATATTGAATGATCACCAGTTTGACCTTCAGAACCTACTACATCATGACATCTCTCTGGCTTTCTTCTGTCTGTCTATTTAAACTCTCTGTCTTACCACGAAAGACTGACTTAAGTAATGGTTACGTTAAACTAAACGATTAACTGACTGAATGACAGACCAACTGACTGACTGACTGACTGACTGACTTATTGAATGACTGACAGACCGACTGACTTATTGAATGACTGACAGACCGACTGACTGACCGACTAATTGGCTGACTGGCTGACTGACTAGTGAATAGAGGGGGTAAGTTTCTGCAGAAATTGTTCTGCTGCGTCTATCGCTCTGACGAAGGGCTAACGCATGAAACTTCAGCTTTGAAACTCTTTACGGTGGCCAATTTACATTACCAACTCAGTTGATAAAACCAAAATTATTTTGACCTACTGACTGACTGGCTGACTAACTGACTGACTGTATGACTGACTCACAATTACTGGCTGACTTACTGGAAAGCTGGCTGGCTGGCTCTCTGGCCGATTGACTAACTGACGTACTAGCTGTTTATGTCACAGGCGATGACAAGCTGTTTAATTGACAAAATTCGTATTCCTTACCTGCCTCAAGCGTTCTAACAGTGCCATTTGCGGACTCTCCATAACCTACAATATTTCTTGCTTGTAAAAAAACGATATAAGATCTGTTTTGTTTCAGATTTTGAAAGCTGAAGAACGTTTGTTTAATTCCATGATGCTGCTGTGTCATTAGGTAGTTTTCCTCAAGTATTGTAATTTTGTAATCAAATATACCACCATCGGTGTCGTCTTGTGGTGCATCCCATGACACATTGACGGACAGCACGTCTGAGGTAAATTTGTTTATTACGGGCGGCCCCGGTGAGTCTAAAAAAATATTTAATAGTAAAATTGATTTCATGACAGATAAAAGTTAACAATCATGTACCTTAGGTGAAGCAGAGCAATTTTCAAATGCCTTCCGAAAGAAATCACTGATTTTGAAGGGTCGTCTCTGGTTTTATTGCACCGCGTTTTCTGACTGGGGTCGTAAACGCCCTCCCCCTCCAGTAACAGCCAGTAACACACACCTACGTTAGATTCTTATTGACGCTTTCATGGTCAGCATTAGCTGCTTCTTACTGACACTTTCATGTCAGAATTAGCTGTAATGATCATTTTGGTTTATGATATTCAGTCGAAAAGCACTCTTGAGGATCATGGAAGTCCAACAAAACTGGCAAGAGATAAACCCTGCTCTAATTCTTTCTTTTAAGGCCTTATCATGAGGCCAAACCATCAGAAATAAGAGCCTCAAACTCTTTGGAATGCTAAGGAATCCTTCAGGATGTTTGAACGATTTGCTCTCTTAGTCCTGTATTGCAGCAGTGTTGGCAATACGAAGAAATATCGAAAAACGATGAAATTTCATTAGAAACTTACAGGAAGTGGATTAGGTAAATTCCAAAACGTAGCGCCAGTAAACTTACAATTAATATAAAATGTATTTTGGAGACTTTCAGCAGTGACGGAAATAGAAAAAGCTAAAAGTAAATAATAGTGTTAACACTTACAGAGGCGCTCCACTGTAATATTATATACCATTGACCCTTTCTCGTTTTCAGCTTTACACGAGTACAAACCAAAGTCGCCCATAGTCTTTGGAATCAGCCTTAGTGTACTCATGTCATGCATGAAGTTAACCCCAGCTAAGATTGGTTGACCATGTTTTAACCAGGTAAAATTTGCAGACGGATTAGCATCTACTGCACACTTTAAGGTTGTCGTGTGGTTAATCCAGGATTTTATAAGAGGATCTGTAGTTGCTGTCTTGTTAATGTAAGGTTTATCTGAAATAAGAATTTGTTTCAGAAACAAAAAATGGTGCAATGCTTGGACGGGGTGGGGGATAGACCGATTTTGTTGATAGAGATATCCTATCTCGGCTCCCTATGATGGTTTTGGAGTATCCCACAATGCATTTTTATTATTGACCGCCACTTTTCTACTTCTTACGAGGGTTTGGAGGAGGTCCCAGGTAACTCTGGAAACCAGACTCCCAAGAGTCCAATGTGAAGAAGTTTATCGGCTTTGCGATTATTAAAATGTAGTTAGAGCTCATGGTATCATCAGAAACATCGGGAAAATTTTCAGCTGCATGCATAAAATGTAACAGCAAGTACTGAAAGTTTCGATGGGGGTCTACGTGCCGTGAAGTTTCTCGTGAAAATGTAATTCTCTTAATTTACATGAAATTGCTCTACTACGTCTTTTTCAATTTTTTAAAGTTAGCGAAAGCGCAAAGCACATGATATACCTGCTTTAATCCTCTTTCCTGTTTCTATGACTCACGGGTACATACTTAAATCTTAACTCTGTAAGGGATTTGAACAAGCTGATATGAGTATTGAATGTACTTCGGAGAAAAGGAGTTAATTTCAGTTAACTTACATCGTACGACCCTCACTTGAACGCTGTACCTCGCGGAGCCAGCTTGGTTCGCTGCTGTGCAGACATAAGTTCCAGCATCTCGCAATTCTATTCTTGGAATTTGAAGCGTAGACGTTGAGGTGCCGTTTTGTAGCGTTTTATCATCTTTGACCCATAGGACACCTGGGGTAGGGTCACCTTTTGCGTCACAATGTAGTGTGACGTTAACTCCTTCTTCAACATCAATAGTCTTATTGGATCGATCGGTTATGGTCGGTGGAACTAAAACAATGTAGGCGAGGGAACAACAAAATATGGTCAGTTATATCATTTACTTTAGTACGTTACGTAATATTTTACTCCAACTCCGCTCCGCTCTTCTCACGAGGAACGAGTACGAAATATCGCGTTGAAATAAACGGGATAGGTTTCTAAAGAAATTCTGATGGTGTGTACTACAAAGAAAGTCCAGCCCTGATAAATGCTGTAACAACACACGTGAAAAAATACGCTAACTTTTCACGTGTGTTTGATGTCACGGTCAATCAGCTAAGACACGTCACTCGCCTTTCTTGCCACTCTGTCATATTGACGAAAGAACGGCAAAGCTTTCATGCACCATTCTCAAGCTGACTTCGTTTGTCGGGTGAGTTTTTCTTGGATGATGGCTGCTAAAACACAGAAAAATTCCTATCGCATATAGACAGTGACGTTCAAAGGTTTCTAGAAGGGGAAGAAAACCAGACTACGAAGAGAAAAACCGAGTTATGAACTCAGTGATTTTAGTAATGTTCAATTTCTCGCGGCTGAGAACAAAAATCGATCATTGGAAGATATTACTAAGAGAAGTTCCATATCTCCCCGCACCCATGTATTATTCCCTATTTATTCATTGATTTCGTAAAGTGAATCAGCCACCGAAAACAATTTCTTAAACTAGCGTTTCGAGTGTTAGCCCTTCATCAGAGTGAATGATAAAACCAAGTTATCTGGCTTAAATTTAACACCGGTAAACCATTGAGAATGCTCATACTCACTGAGAACGGCCAGTTTTATAGGACCACTCCTGTAATTTGACCCGTCCACATACGCTACACAACCGTAAGTGGCAGTTTCATCTAATTTGGTGACATTCTTTAAGATGAACTCAACCTGACAGTCATGTTTACTGATATTTCCCGCCCAGCTCAATCTGGATGTCAATGAGTCATCGAGTTCTGAGTTGAAAGCTTCTCTCCGGTCTTTAAAAATGGTGATGTATTTATTCCGAATCTGGTTGCGGTTTGTATCCGTTTCTCCCCAAATGATTCTTTCAAACTTAACCGACGTTCCAAAACTGAAATCCCACGAAAATATGGCACTGGATCCCAAACTTGCAGACACAGTAATAGGAGGCTCCTTTGTAAATTTTGGTTCTAAAAGGGAGAGGTGCCTTTTTAATTTCTAGCACGGCCGGACAAAGCAGCAGTTACAAGATAATAAACTGCGAACGTTTTAAGCTATGCACATTTTCTCTCAAATGACTTTGCCTCTACGGCGACCTTATTGAAACTTATGAGTTGGGAGAGAAAGGCCTACATAAAACGATGTGAATGGGGCCGGAAGGGAACAAGGTCCTCTTTTTTTTACCCTTCCCCTCCCGTACTTCAAACCCTCCTCCCTGAAATGAAGATTTTTATGGATTCATCTGCTTTTTTTGGACAAGTCTCTTAAAATGAGAGGAGGAACTATCAAGTGGTGGGGCGGGGGGCGGAGGGGGTTAGCAAAGGCTCTTAAACCGGGTGGGTTAATATGCATGCTTTGTCTACTGACATGAACGATGCTCTACTCATGTACGTCTTGTTAACTATGTCGAAAGCCGCTGGCTGTAGACTGAATTATCACGCCAGTCATCGGTAGTATGGATAATTTTTGTGCACCAGTGTCTGCCTGAAATCGAGAAACGAACCCTCGCGCTAAATTAAGCATGCATAATTACTGCTAATTTTTGTCGCGCAGGACTGCAACACGGCTACACGAATTCTTTATTTTGGTCGTGCTGACTAGATAGACTGAAATCGTTCAATAAAAACCTCGTCGAGTTTATCAGAGAAAGCCAAGTACATTACATTATATAGTTTTGTTCAACTCGAGAAACTTACGGCTGGCAGTGAGTCTGAAACACAGGAAACAACAGAGTGTAAATACTGCGGCTACTGCAACAGACGACATCACTCTCGGAATTAGAGTCTGTAAAGAAGAAAATAGATAGTGTGAGAATTTATCTTGACCACTGATGATTCAAAGCAAATTTCGAAGCTTTGCTAGTTCCAAGCACTCCTGCTTATGCCAGCCCTTCGTGCTGTGGGTAACGAATAAAGACTTATTGAGGTAATTTTTTTTTTACTTTTCTTTAATTATTCAGTTCCGACATTGTGATATTTATCGAAGTTAAAAAAAAAAAACATTCCACCTCTCTAGACTGTCAAAACTTTGCAACAATTGCCATGGCAATTGAGTTTGAGTCAGAACACATGTCACCGGAGGCGGAAGAAGTCGAGCCCAACAAAACGGCTTCCTGGTCAACTTTCTTCTGAAAGCAATTCAAAAGATGAACAAGTTACCAAACAACTTAAATTTCCTTGTTGTACTTTTCTATTTGCCTTCACTTTTCTTTTCGGTTTTTAAAAACCAGGCTCACATCAAGCCGTCAGCTTTCACTACGGGATTTGGCGCCCAGGGCGGTATGATTAATATCACTTACTAACCTCGTTTTCTCGGTCTGTACTGTAAGTTATGGAACTAGCTTTTTCGCACGGACTTATGGCCCAAGCGCGAAGCGAAGTTCCATGACTAACAGAAAGGACCAAGAGAAAGGGGTTATTAAGATATTTATTTTATCCCAGGTTTCAAATGGAGGGAGAAGATTTAAAATCAAACAAAATTTTAATTTAGCGCGCGGCACAGTGAAATACGGCCCGCTAAATTGACCAATCATAGCACACCTGTCCCGTTTGTGCTTGGCAACTTTTGATTAACTTTTGACGTTTGGAGTAAAATTTTGCGGTTCTAGCAACCTCGAGCAATTTTTGCCTCTCTGAGCAACGTTTGAGCAAACTATAGGTTTAGAGCACATATCAAGCACATAATACTCGATTCAGTAGAAACACTAAACCACGAAGCAAGTAATATGAGGTACAGTGGAACCTTGATCTGACGAAGTGTTAAGGGACTGGGAAATTGGTTTGTTATATCGAGGGTTTGTTATTACGAAAACCTCGAGTTGACAAATTTGCAAAAAAAGATCCGAAATGTTCGTCATATCGGGGGAGGGGATAGTTGTTATTTAGTTTTATTTGATTTGATTTTATTTTTGTGGTGCGAAGTCGCGCTAATCAGCATTTTGGGATTGGAACGATTACTGTAAATAACACTTGTGCATTAATGTCCACATGACGCTACAGCACACCGTACAGGATGTACATTACTTTTAAAGAACGGAGGATAAATTTCAATTGAAGTAGCTGGCAAACGGAGGAAAAAAGGGCATTGGACTGTAAATTCCTGCCTCCTATACCTTTACCACAAGAAGCCTTCAAAAATAAAGTAGTTACTAGAAATAATAAGAGAGAAAGAGGATAAAGCGGATCTGTAGATGTAACGAAATCCTAATTATAACGAACACAACCCAGAAACCCAAACGTATAACATACCTTGATATAACGAGCAAATATTAACAAGTGACTGAAGACAAATGCGAAACAGACCAACAAGATTCAAAATCCTTCAATTCTGCAACAGTAGAACCATTTCACAGTCAACAGCTCATCATAAATGCCGACACTGACACTATCGACACATCGATTATCTCGAGGTTCTGTCTGTTCTAACTTCCGGGCCGAAGATTATTGTTCGTCCTACTGAGTACTTCGTTTTATAGAGGTTCTACTGTAACTGAGTAACTCTAGCAGCAAAAAACATATCAAAGTTGACCCGTTATCGGCCTTCGCGGAAGAATTTTCACTTCACTTTTACTGATGCTTGTAAACAAAATTCTAAGCATATTTGTAAACATCAGAAAGTGGAATGAAACAAGTCTACACAAATAACAGCCACGTGGATCGACACGGACCGATAGTTTTACCAAAACGTGATCAATGATATGATCCCCAGATGCGAAGAGCCTGGTGCTTGTTCCGACTACTGCAGTTAAGCAAGGTTAATTTTGAAACACTTAGCCTAAATATATCTTATTCTTTGTATCGAATTTTTCTCAGTCTTCTGATCCTTTAGCTATTTGTTTTCAATCTTTGATCGTATTTGCTGCAATTGGAATATACATGAAACTGAGAATCTGAAACTGAATCCTCTATTGAACACTTTCCAGAATCTTTGTTTAGTCTATGTATACTTAAAAAATATATATATTCTTCACAGCCTACCGCGCGTGTTCCTAGTCTTAATTACTTAAGTAGGGTAAGCTTGTGAAATACGAATAAACAAGGCCTTGCCTCAAAGGCAGTTAAATTACTGGCTGGACGGTCGATAAAATGATTATGAAAATAGAGTCAAGTCATCGCGCTCTGCCATTAACAGGAAGGGTTGGTTGATTTCAGTTGAATGGTCTTCTTGTTCGCTTTTTTCAGAAAAATTAAAGGTCGACAGTACGCTGCAGGAGACTAGGTTAAACGCATTGATGTGTAATTGATCGCATTGATTGTTCTGTGATTTTGATTCTGTAAATCTACTACATGAAAACAGTCTGAAAATACGGTGATGTAATTTCTCTGGGCTACTACTACTACTATATTACTTGCTGTAGCTGTACAAATGTTCACATTTCCGAAGAGAAGGGTTTTTTTTCGCTCTTACATCCATAGCATCTCAACTAAGAAGACACTGATTGATGTGCTGAGCCTTGTCTCTGATCATTTTTCAGTTCTAGTTTCCGGTATTCACTGTTTTAAGAGGATTCTGATCACCACAAAAAAGGGAGTACTGTTTACCTTTCGATCATATTTACTTTATGCTCACGATATTTTAAAGATTGTTTCCCTTTTCTGTGGACGTCGGAGTTGTCAGCTCTCCAATGGAATGTAGACATGCGATGACAAAAATCGTAGAGTGGAGAATGAAAGACATTACTAAGGTATCATTAATTTGAGATATTCTTAATTTTTTTTAATGACAGGCAAATCAAATCTACATGAATTATCCATTGCAACACTTTGCTGCACAAATTAGTTTTCCGCTTGTAAGTGAACCGACAAAAAAGAACATTGTTCGTCGAAGATCTGACTTCAGTCCGTGGAGTCTTAATTACAACAGATTCATTGTGACACAGGGTCCTAGCGGGCAAATGAGAAATCTTTGGAATATGAAGAGTCTCTGTTGCAGAGATTTCTAGATTAGATATAAATAAAGTTTAATGACATGAGGGGTGAGTAAAGCTGTGGGTCTCCCAGAAGGAATGCGGTTTCCATCACAACTGTGACGTGAGAGTTGATTGATCGCAGCATTGTTCAGACCAAATTTATTTCATTACAAATCATCTGAAAGAATCCTAACTTCTTCATCCAACTGGAAACTATGAGACCTATCTTACAAGTTATCAAATAATACTTCACCAAAACGAGAAATCACCAATCTGAAACATCCTTCTTATTCCAAGCCAATTTTTCTGTTTCCTTAACGATTCTCTGTTATCTCGCTAACTCCAGCTGCGATCTTGAGGGAAAAACCAGGCTTTATTTCCCAAAAGAACATATTTCGCCCACCTTGAACAAAGTAGAAACGCCCTAAACTAAGAGACGCGCGCCATCTTACAAGCTACCAAATAATACTTCACCAAAACGAGAAATTACCAATATAAAACAACCAATTCTTCCAAGCCAAATTTCCTGTTTTCTTAAAGATTCTCTGTTATCTCGCCAACTCTTGCTGCAATCTTGAGGAGAAAATCAGGTTTTATTTCTCAAAACAACATATTTCACTCACCTTGAATAAAGCAGAAACGTCCTAAATATTTTTGGTCAGTTAATGAACCGCTTTTCTATTTCCAAGCATAAATGACCAAGGGAAAGTATGTTGCGTGTCGTTGTCGCATGTATGTTCTCATTGTGGGAGGCACTAGAGGATGGGCTGGAGGTTTGTATCACGCCAATAAGAACCGGTTTAACGGGATTTTTTTGGCATTGTTTTGACGTGGATGCAACAGGAAGAAGAAGTACGTATTACGTACTAAAATGCGAAAGTTATACACCGCAAAATTGATAAATAGGCCTGAAATGAAATTCTATCTTGTTATTGATTATAGGTTGCCTAGCACGTGACTAAAATCTACCCAGGCGGAGATCCAAAATGACGGTGGCAGTCTTGGCTTAGTTATATCACTCAACACTCGTTCCCGTTTGTCTCATTTGATAAAGAGGGAATCGTTAATGTTTTCATTAAGACAGTGTTGCCTTGATTTTCTCATTTTTACAATGATAGACTGTAAATTTCACTTTTCACCCACATTTACTTCCAACCTTTTCTTTTGAACCAGAAACAAAAATGATATACGTTTAAAACACATGACATCATCCACCCTTGTCAAATGTAATAGCATGATCATTTCAACTGCAATGCCTTCTTATCCCAACGTTACTTTGTTTCTTTGCTTCATTAGCGAACACTGAACTACTGCTTGTACTCTAGATACGACAATCAACCACAAAATTCCCTAAACCAGATAACATAAAAACTTAATCCAAAAAATTATGTGTCAATTCACGAGTTTGCTCATAGAGCACTTTGATTTTTATCACAATACGTTTTAACCGTCGAAGATAAGAGGCTTATCAGAACTACATCATATAATTACCCTCCCAACAACCAAAACCTAATCAAACAAAGCTGTCACTCATTTTATGGATGCCCGCACGCCCTCAATGTAGCTTTTCGGCTTCGACAGGTCTTTTCCTTCGGACTGAAAAGTTTACTGCGCACGTATGTTTATTCTTGAAGAGTTTGAATTAAATCCTTAAAAAAATTTCACTTTTGTTGTCTTCATTGTTTGAAGGAGGATAAAGATACTTGAGCTTGAATGTCTATTCATGCTGTGATCGGAAAAAGTTATGAGTCCAGATTTTCTGCCGGCTGAGAAATCAAAGAAGAGAAAACAAGATGAGCTGGATTTAACAACAATATGAGCGACTTGGCGTAGTCCGGAATATTCATTGTTGGCGAATACTTCTACAAGGCACTTACG